GTCTCCTCTTCGTAATCTCCATCTGTTGTGAGTTCCAGGATAGTTATGTCATCAGCAATCTTGCAGCGCAGTCATTCGTGGAAAAGGAGTACATAAGGGGGCTTAGTACATAACCCTGGTGGACACCTTTGTTGAAAGTCAGGGTGTAGGAGGTGATGGGATGTCTTCTCACCATACGGGGGCTAAACTTCTCAGGATGTCCTGTATGCAGTTGCTCAAACATAAGTCCTCAAGCTCTGTCATGGAGGTCTGCACAGGCCTGATTATTAATGCCTGCACCTGTCCTATTCAATCACTAATCACCTCCACCTGCTCCTGCAAAATCTAGTGCCATTCTCACCTGCACCTGCCTGCTTCAACCACATGCCATGCCCACCCACCCCTGCCTATGCTTTGAGTCCTCATCCATTCCCGCCTGTGCTTGCTGTAATCCACTCCAGTGGGGTAGGAAGTGTCCACACAAACCCTGTGATACGGCTGTCAATTAGCTTTTGTGCATAAGTGATTTACCGGATGTTCTATAGCTTCATGTTTTTTTGATTGTGCTGATTGTGCTGATTACTAACATGTTTGTTGCTTGCCTGTCCGCTTCTACAAGCTGCTAATTAATGTCCAATCTTGCCCCATCCATCCGGCCATAACATGCCCCCACACAAGCCTGCAACCTGCTCGCTTCAAAACGGATCCCGTCCACCAGTTATCTAGCAGATCATGAGGAAACTCTGGGTGAACCCGCCTTGTGCAGACCTCTACTTTGTAATGCATTTGTCAGGAATATTGTAGTGAATGCCAGGCTGTAACATATGGACATCAGTCTCACATACATGTTCTTCTTGATCATGTGGGTTTTGATAAACCTTCTAAAAAGACTGATTGTCAAGATCAGTGCAACAGAGCAGTGGTCATCTAGGCAGGAGATTGGGCACTTCTTGCTTGGGACTGTAACAGGGGTGGTCCTCCTAAAGTATGTAGGAATCACCTACACGCTTCGAAGATGTTAAAGGTACCTCCACTAACTGTTTGATCCAGTCTTTGAGGACAAGGTCGTAGTTGCTATCAGGTCCTGGTGCCTTGTGTGGGTAAATGCCTGAAAAGATCTGCTCAGAAATGAAGACAGTCTTCAAACAGCTGGCTTGGTCTACAGGTCGTTTCACAGCAGTGTTGCTCCCATCAAAATGAGCAAAATAGGTGTTAAACTTATGTGGTATTGAGGCAAACATCCCCATATAACAGTTATTCCTACATCTGTAGTCCATAATTAGGTAGAAGGTAGAAGCATTGAGGTCAAAGCCATTATAGGTAGTTATATCTGGCTTTTTGCAGGCTGCCAGGTCTCCATGTTGGAGGCATCAGTTTGAGCTTTCAGTTTGGCTCTTTGATGCTGGTCCTGGGCTTTTGGTTTAGCTTTAAGCATGGTTTTTTGAGACAACTTGTCAGGGCATGTTCTGACATAGCCTGTAACCCACTATATCACAGAATATCTGCCAGTCTGTGCTTTAGAAGCAGTCCTGAAGTCTGGAGATAGCATCCTCGCTGTATTGATAGACCTCTAAGAACCGGTTATTCCTGTTTGAATGTAGGCCGGAGGAAACTGAAGATGTGATCGGCCTCGCCAAATGGGAGGTGTTTGTCCTTAAGTGCAGAGTAACAGTGATCTAGAGTTTCTTCATCATATGTTGGGAAATTAATGTGCTGTGTAGGAACTTTTTCATGCTTACTCGGATCAAGGTGCCAGAAAAGGTCCTGTGCGATGCCACAGGATAACCACTTTTAGCCCCTTAAAAAAAACAGATAGTTCTTTAAAGAACCAGAAAAGAATATTTTAAAGAACTTCCACACAATGTCAAGGTTCTAGGAAACCTTAACATAATGTAAAACTTACAAGATCTTTCACACCTAATGGTACTCAAGGGTCTTCTCCTGTTTTTGGTAATAATAGCAGCTGTATGACCATTTAGTGATTTCTTTACTCTTCCAGGTGAGCACTGACCAATTACCAAGCACTACAACACTACACTGTAAACTAGAATTTACATTTATGGTATTTGGCTGACACTCTTATCCAGTGCGACTTACAGTTCGGTCATTTTACACAGGTCAGTGTTAGGCGTCTTGCCCAAGGACTCTTATTGGTATAGTGTAGGATGCTTAGCCAGGCAGGGGATTGAACCCCAGTGCAGGCAGAGGTGATACCCACCACACCATTCCAACCATGGCAAATGGTACATTTGCAGGCCAATTTGAATTTCACTGCAAAACCAAGTATTTTCATACTGTTTGTTAAGCATTCTTAAAACAGTGCAATAGGAAAAAAGGCAGTAAGAATTGCTTGCTTGCTAGTCGACCAGAACACACAATACATAATGTTGAATATGTTGTATATTCTGGGAGTACATTTTTAATTTATTATTATATCTCATTAATGTTGTCTCATAAGATTTTAATATTGAAAGTAAACTTGAGCAGTCATTTTGGGTGGGCCAAGGGTAGGACCCAGTCATAGCCAAGGATAGGACCCAATCAAATGAAGATTGAAGCTTTGCTTGATACATGATTCTGTATGATGCAAAATGTAAACATATTTTTGAGTGTGTGTACGCAGAACAGTGGGGTAACTTCATATCATTTCACATCAGCCAATAATTTAAGCTAACCAGCAGTAAGATACTTAGCCATATTACGCCGTAGAGTGGTGCTGTAAAGCAGGTGGAAAGTGAACTAGACCTATAAGTGTCAATTCCTTTTGGTTCCCATCTGTTTTTGATTGTGCAGTGGAAAAATGGCTTTTGCAGCACTCTTTTTTTGGTGTGTGTGTATCGACGTTCCCAACTACAGCTCTCCAGTCATTGATAGTTTCACACAGATCGTCCAATGCAAGTGATTCATGCTCCTAAGGTGGAATATAAACTGGTAAACTAAATTCCTGAGGTATATAAAAAGGACAGACATTCAAAGTTATTAGCAGATGTTTTGTCGTCTGGTACTGACATTCATTGCATGTCCAAAAGTCTGTAGACTCCAGCGTTTCCTCTGAAATGAAGGGTATTAATAGTGACTTTGTGCTGCAGCAACAGCCTCTACTATTCTGGGAAGGCTTTGCAGTAGATGTTGAACATTGCTGTGAGGATTTGATTGAGCGTTGGTGAGGTCAGGTACTGATGTCGGATGGTCAGTTCTGGATCACTCCAACTCATCCTAAAGGTATTGGATGGAGCTCCATCTCTCCAGAGAACGCAGTTCCACTGCTCCACAGCACAATGCTGGGGGGCTTTCTACCCCTTTAGCCCACGCTCAGCAGTTCCCTATTCTATTCGTCGGTGCTTTTCTATGAGGATTATCAGCAAAGAGTGACTTTAAAGTAGCTGAATTCACTCATTAGTAGGACTGTCTGGATAATTTCAGACATTTAGTGTAGTGACAGCTAGAACACGGCAGTCTCATGTTGACTTTTCCACGTTCTGCATGAAATCCCAGCACGGCTGCCTCTCTTGCATCTCTTTCTTTTCTGCCAGCGTGTTTTTAAGCAAACTGCTGTGGAACAGGAATATTCCAGCAGGCAGTAGTTTTAAAATTCATATTGAGCCATTATAAAACGTCCAGAGTGGGCGACAGTGTGGAACATACAAAGAAAATAGACTTTTAGAAACTTATTCTACCTATTATTTACTTTAATTTTTTATTAGTTTTACTAATAAAAGACATAATTAGCTGCCAAAAGTGTACTGGAATATGAGTAATACATGCTAAAACTTGCTTACATTTAATGTCTGGCGCACTTTATTCCACATATCATTTACTAGGTAAATATTAATGAAAGTACATAGTAACTAATATAACAAATAACTGGGTAAGTACAGCTGTGTTTGGTGCTGTAGTGCCATAATTACTCAGTAAGTAACTCATATGAGTTACTATGCACTAGAATATCCAAGTATTACTTGTAGGTACTGCTTAATTACCTTTTAAATTCTGAGTAATTATGGCATTGCAGCAGCAAGTACTCCTGAACCTACCTGGTAGTACTGGTAAATATTATGTAATGTAATATCCATACAAAACACACAAATTGTTTAGTAATTACAAGTAATGCTTGGATATTCTAGTGCATAGTGACTCATATGAGTTACTTGCTGAGTAGTTACGGCACTGTAACACCAAGCACAGCTGTACATACACAGTTATACGTCATAAGTTACTATGTACTTTAATTTGCAATATGCAAATTAGTTCATATTTACCTAGTAAATAATAGGTAGAATAAAGTGCACCAGACATTAAATGTAAGCAAATCTTAGTATGTATTACTTTTGCCACTTTGGCAGCTAATTATATCTTTTATTTGTAAAACTAATAAAAAAATAAAGAAACAATGCATTTATATGTTGCCAAATATGTAGTATGTCGGTGTTTTATTTCTGATATAACAAAGAGTTAATGGACATTAATAAAAATAGTTTGGCTCAAGATACCAACTTGATATTTGGTACAATTGTTGAGTTGAATGTGGTGTTTCCACTGGTGCAAATGTTATATATTTTTTGGTGACTTTGTCATGCACGAGTACAATGCACTTAAAATGTGGCATGTAGACATGAGGAAATGTCTTTTGTATTTAACAACTCATAAACCAGAAACCTCTATTACTTTGACATAAGTGCCAAAATATGAGAGATCCAAAGTGAAGATATGGAGGATGAAAATTGCTCCAAAGAAAAAAAAAGGCATTTAATTTCTTTATCTGTTTATATTTGGTACATAAAACACATTGTACATATTAGTTTCTTTATGTTTGGTACATTAAATACACTGTAATCAATAAATAATCCCATGCAATTTCATGCATTTAGCTTCAGTAGTTCAAAAGTTATGACTTAATGAATAAACATTTGCTGCAGACAAAAAAAAGTTCATGCCTACTTTTAAAAGCCTCTAATCTCTAATGTCTCAGAAATGCATGAAAATACAAATCTGAGGTGGCCAATTGGGAGCCCTTGAGTGATTTCTCAAGAATTGATCCCAAAGTGCTATTTATATTAAAGAAAAAAACAAAACTCAGGGATGATTTCCTCGTTTGAGCAATGTAGCTTGGATGTGTTTCAGTAATGTTGCAATGGAAGGACTTCAGAGTCCTTAAAGTTTACAGAGCCAGGAAGTCTTCATAAGTAATGTGTTTGAGTGCAATCACAGGTGAGTGCGGAGTGAAATATGTTTGTATGTTCTCTCATTTTATTTAGTATTTATGCGCTGTGAAGATGATGCATCAAACATATACCAAAGTTTGGTGTTGTGAAAAGGAGCTAGTGATTTATTTTCTCTGTTTCTCTTTTTTTCTTTCCTGTTCCGCAGTGTCGCTTCCAAGACCAAGTTTTTTGAGAATGCTTCCCGACAGGCCGGAAGGTACGTGTCCATGTGTGAGAATGTGTGTGCATATGTACAGATGGGAAACAAATTAAAGGAAAAACCCAGCATAAGGACTATTTCCCAGACAAGGGATTGAACATTGGACTACATTTTCCTTTCAGTGGAGAATCCACATTCAGAATGCTGAGTGGTCCAGGACCAGGCTCAATCCCTGTCAGGGAAACTGACCCACATTGTCTTAATAAGGTGTTGGGCTGCATGAGCTTCCAGCACAGTGTGCTTCTAGAACTGTACAGGAAGGCTGGAACACCACCCTTCCAGAAGGTATTCCGTCAATTGGTGTTTTGGTCGTAGTGGTGGAGAATGCAGGGCTAATGTGAAGATCTCCCATAGGTTGATATCTGGTGACAGTGCAGGCCACAGCATATGATTTACATCATTTTCATACTCATTAAACCATACAGTGACCCCTCATGCCCTGTTGAATTTTCAGGATTATTCGTATTACACACTTTTGGCGACCAGTTATTTGATAAAGCATATTAAATGTTCATGTTTAACAGCTCATAAACTAGAAGCCTTCAGACTTATGCCTAATTAGTAAAGAGTGCAGTGATATGAGTGATAAATCCCAAAATCTGACAGATCTGATATGCCTCAGTGTGGAGATATAGAGGGCCAAAGTTGCTCCAGTCTCAAAAAAACAAAAACATAATAATAATAAATGAAAAATTGGAGTGTTAGCAAGCCAAAAAGTGGGAAACTTGCATTTCTTTATCTTCTGTTTGGGTAGATAAAACATCCTGGAGGCAAAGAATTATTATTATTAAGTGCAGCCAAGTTGTTCACAACTCCGGACGACTGTATGGATGGTATTCCCAGAATATCCTGTCTACTGGTTGGGTCTTCAGGATTCCGAATGGTTTGTTCATGATTGATCTGATTGCATCCCTCCATTGTGTACTTGGTCATCCTCTTCCTCTTTTACCTTCAACTCTTCCAAGCATAGTGATCCTTTCCAGTGACCACGTTCTTGTGTCCAAAATAAGAGCCTCAGTTTGGTTATCTGGGCTTCAAGCGAGAAGTAAGGCTTGATTTGTTTAAAGAGCTATTTGTTCGTTTTCTTTGCCGTCCGAGGAACTCTCAAAAGTCTCTGCCAACACTAAAGTTCGAAGGCATTTATATTTTACCTCTGTTGATTGTTTATTGTCCAGCTTTCTCATCCATAAAGAACCACAAGTTGTTGCATTTGAAGATCTTTCCAAGCTCCTTCATACTTGTTCTGTCGGGCGCCAATCTGTGTCTTATTTCTTCAGTGCTGGATCCTCTGTTGTCAATAATCGATCCTCGTAGACAGAAGCTGTCCAGCTTTTTTCAGAACTTCTCTGTCGATGATAAAGTCAGCAGTCTTCCCGCTCATCATAATCTCAGTCTTCTTTATACTGAGCCGATGTCCCATCTTTTCACTCTGTTCTTTAACCTTCCTTATAAGGACCTTCAAGTCTTCCATATTTGCCACCATTAGCGTTGTATCATCCACATATTAAAGGCTATGGATGCTTCAATCCTGAATCCTCAATCATCTTCCTCCAGTCCTGCCTCTCTCATAAGTTCTGCACACAGGTTAAACAGGTGTGGTGATGGTGGGCAGCCTTGTCTAATGCTGCGCTCACATGTTTGCAGTAGATGGACGATGGCAAACTGGATATTCCATGGTTTTCAGTAGAGCCACAATGGAAAATTCTGCCGCCGCAAGTCAAGAGTCCAGTTTTCCCAATTTTTTCCATCGACTGCAGGGATGGAATGAACTGAGTGTTGCGGAAAAGAGTACAGAGTGTCCTCCTCCCCTTTTCCACCTTAGATAAAAAATCTGCACTGTTAATGTTCTCCTCTGATAATTTTCACCGTGCCAAGGTTTGCGCAGTTTCATACCACCGTATTCCATGTACTGCTATGACGTGTGGAATGACACGTTTTTTCAACACAAACATGTGAACACAGCATAACCCAACACTCCATATATATATATATATGTATGTATAATATGTAATGCTAAAACTTCTAAATTTTTCTACCACAGTTAGTAGACACTCTGTAGACAAGTGTTCATACAAATATGCATGCAACATCTTTGACCACCTGGAATACAATAGCAACCACCTGGGATACCATAGCAACGGCCTAGCAACACCTTAGCAATGACTTGGTATATAGCAGTGACCTAACAAGACTTAGCAACCGCCTCGGGATACCATAGCAACAGCCTTGCAGCTTAGCAACCACCTAACAACAACCTGGAAACCATAGCAAATACATGGAAAAACAATTTAAGGTCACACAATTTAAGGTGTGTATGTGTGCAGCTGTAGTGCTATAAGGATAAACCCATTTAAATACATACGTTCAGAAGCATACAAATCGCTTTCTATATTATACTAGGGTTGTAATAAGTCAGAGACCACCATTCATTTATTTAATTTCCAATCAAAACTAAATTAAGTTCAAGTTATTAACTTTTCAGGTCAGAAAAAAATGAAATGTTGGTGATATTTAACAGAAAATTACACAGAATTCTCATCAATTAAATCTGATCTCAGCTTTTTGAGTGTTCAATATATCACTCTTTCCCTTTATTCCAGCTTCCACTCTTCTCAGGAGAGTCACTTTCAGTTCCTCAAAGAATCTGCAGACACACCTCCAAAGTTCAGTCTTAGAAGCTGGTTGATCATTTTCTGAAGTACTCAAACACAATCAGTGGTGCTGAGGTCTGGACTCTGGGGTGGTCAGTCCATCATTCAGCTTCTTTGTTTGATGTGTCCATCTCCTTTTCTCAGTGAGGTTCTTCTTGATCAGCTATACATCCTTTTAGGCCCACAGCGCTGAGTCGTCTTCTCACAGTGGAAGGATGGACAGAAACACCTGTGGATGTTTTCAGATCTGAAGCAGCTTGATTTTCTCCTCTCTCTCAGAGATGGAAGCTTTAAGTGCTGTTCATCTGATGGGGCAGTTTTGGTGTCTACCAGGTCTTCCAGGCGGTTGTTAGGAGCCCTCTTTTCTCAGTATCTGTTAAAGGGCTCATGTCTTATATTTTTTCTTGTATTTTTGGTATCTCCATTTTCATTTTCATGACCATTTTCCAACCTCTCTCTATCATGTAGGATTACACAGCCAGTTTTTTTGTTACAGCACCTCTAAAGCTTTGTTCACACAGCAGGTAAAAGTGGCCAAAATCCAATCTTTTTCTTCATATGTGACACAGATGCGTCAGCGTGAACAGATAAACGCACGGAATCTGACATTTTCAATTCTGATTTGAGACGTTTTCATATGTGGTACTGAAATCTGTATGTATCTGCAGCAATGCAACTCAGTCTGAACATCCAGATCGGAATTCATGCGACCTTTACGTCAATCCAGCTCCACTCTAGGAGCTATATTGGTGTGTGGTTTACTATTGAAAATGTGATGCAATGATTTAGTTCTAAAACTAGGTGGCGAGGGTGAGCACAGGTGCATATATGGTGGTGCACTAGAAGCATAGGGTAGCACCAGGGGTACCACACAGGTTTTTACCAGCAGTTAAGAAGAAATACAATGGAAACTTTGTTAGCTTGCTCAAACTGTGGAATAAACCTTGTAAACGACAATAAACCTCTGGACATTTTTTCAGTTGCTGCTTAAGCCTGTGGTCTACGGTGCTCCAAGCGGTTTTGGTATGTAAGTTTGAAACCACAAACAAAAGTAAAAACCTGTGTGGTACCCCTGGTGCTACCCTATCCAAGTGGTTTTGGTATGTAAGTTTGCCACCACATACACATTCGTCATCGCTTCGCTCTGCTGAGACCTTATAAACATTTGGGGGTGATATTTCTGTACAAAAATTAGAAGAGATTTATCCAAAACACCTTCGTGTTCGAAGAGATTTTGAAAGTAATGTCCGAACGCGGTCGCAGGAGAACGAGGCGGCAGCATCGAAGAACAGTTAAAAGTCTGAAAGCAAAGTTTAAAGAATCCGAGGACGCGAACCAAAGAAGTGACCGCACCCTTTTTACGGCTCGAACACATTCTGGGTGATGAGCCCAGCTGTCAGTCAGTGAAGCTTCATGATGGCTCCTGTGATGCTGGTGAAGATGAAGCTGATCCTCCGGGAGCGACTGGCGTTCGTAATTGATTACCTCTGGATGAGCCGCATGAAGCAACATGACGTGTTGTTCTTTTGTGCATGTGGGTCAGTCTGTTCAGACTGATCTCACATACAGATCATATTTAAAAGATAATGTGAACAGGCAGGCAAAAAAAATCAGATTTGGGCCACTTTTACCTGCTTTGAGAACATAGCTTATGATATATGTAAATTAGCTCTATTCTGATTGGTTTAATGAACAGCACTCAGGGCTGAGAACACCAGCAGCTTCTATGCTTTTGGTGCCAGATGGTGGTCAACTAGACTGACTATAAAACTGCAGAGGTAAATAAGTAAAAAAAAAAAAGTAAATAAATGGTGCCTCGCAGCTGAAAGGCTGGGAAATGACTATGTTTGTACACCACAGCGACTGTTCATTATTATTTGTTCATCTCTGTGTTTCCTCGTCTGCTCAAGCCTCGTCTTTTGTGTAGAATGGCGTGTGCCCACTATGTGCACCTTTTAGTTGCAGTGCTTAAAAGAAAAATGATAAATTCATCATCGCTACTACTCGAGGACTCCATCGTTCCTTCCTCCTCCATCCTCTTCCAGTGTAGTCGATTGTTTAACCCTCTGTAGTCTTAAATCCTCCTTTAAAGGCTCTTCATATAACGTGATCCTCATGTGTTTCATATCAAAATGCTCCGTTTTCTTCATCACTACTTTCCAAAACTGCTGCAGCAGCTTCAGCAGCTGTAAACTCTCTGCACGCCATTTCACATGAGTCTCCGATGTGGACTGAATGAAGAATGAAGGGTGTCCGGCGTGATGGTCAGTGCTTAGTGATATCCCGAGTGTCCATTGGTCAGTTTCACACAGAATGTAGCCGGACACACGAATCCACCAGTTCCAC